CTTGAGGAGAGGGAGGCATAGCTATGCAGGGCCCTGCAGCTTCACTTGAAGGGAACTGACATTATGGCAGAATGACATTGTTTTACTTCGCTTGCAATGCTGGTCTTTGGGGAAACATTTCCTGTAGCTTACGTGGGAAAATTTGGGTTTTATAAGGAAAACTAGGGATCCAGGAACCAGTATCTACTCAGCTATCTAATTTTGTTCAAAAGTATCTTTGTGGTCACTAAGGATGCTTTTCAAGGAAAAAGGAATTTTATTACTGAGGTCCCACTGTAGTCTTCTATTCATTTCTGTCTGGAACCTTCTGATCATTTGTTCCAAGGAATGGAATCAAAAGTTATCACGTGTAAATCTTATGAAAGTTATGCATTCCCTATGCACCATCTCAGTGTGGGTACATGCCAGGTCTTGTTGGCAGAGATTCGTGTGTTGTACATCTTATGAAAACAGGGAAGTTAGGGAAGCAGCTCCATCCTTTCTCATCTTCTAGTAGGAGAGAATGAAAGAGGAAGGGAGAAGAGAAGAGAGAAGGGAAGAGGAGGGAGGGAAGAGGTGGGAAGGAGGAAGAAAGGGGAGAGAGAGAGAGAGAGAGAGAGAGAGAGAGAGATCACCCCTGAGTAGGTTCTCCTAGTAAGTCTGGGTTCTATATATCTCATAAAGGGACCACTTCAGAGCCAACTCATTTTCTCATTCCTAAATGTGCCTCTGCTTATGCCATAAAAAAGTCCCATGGCTGCTCCTGACCGTGTTTATACTACCACACAGAGGACCATCTTAACCAGTCCCTTCTCACTACTCCCTTCTTCCACCTGTACTCTTAGTACAGCATTCTATTTACCATCGTATAAGAATCAGCAATTGCTAGTGAACAGAGTGTCATCAGCTTCAATTCTTGCTGAAATAATGAGCAAGTGACCCAGTCACTTAACGACTAAGGCATTTCTATCCCATCTACTTATCCCACCCATTTAATCTCATTTCTCCCTCCTCTCCTGCTGAAACTCTATATTGCAGCCATTCAAACCCTAGTTGCTAATGTTCTACTCCAATCAGCTCCAAAGTCCTCCCCTCATCTATGCCCTTTTAATTCCCCACCCAAAGTCCTTATATCAATGTAGACACAATTGAAATCTCCTTTGGTCCTTGAAGCTTTTCTTACCGACCTGTCTTCAGAGCACATTCTTTTCTTCTTGCTCTATGCACTTGTGACTGTTGATACCTAGTATTTAACCACTCACAGCTCAATTTTATTACCTGCTTTATTCTTGCAATTAGTCTTTCCCTCTAGCAATGAGCTCCCCAGAAGCAAACTTATTTTTACTGTTAAGATACATGGCACCACCTCATGCCCTTGACAATTGAGCAGTAAGTCCACCTTATACAGCTTTCCTACTTTTTGAACAGAAGATGGTTCAAGCAGATCAAGGTCATTTTGGACCAATTTACTTGAAACAAGAGTAGGAAACCTTGTGTTACCCAGGTCTCACCGTGGTTCTGCGGTCAGTAACGTAGTTCACTCCTGAGCACCTCACCCTAGGCAGTCCAGAAGACCATGTCAGACATTCAGTGACCCCAGGGGAAGAGAGTCAGAGCCAGATCAGAACATGGTGAACAAACGAGAGTGCGTGAGGCTCAGATGCTTCCTAACAGGAGAGAAAGCATCAAACATTGGCTTAGACACCTGGGATGACATTGGCACTAACTCTGCAAATTTAAAATATGTCATGCCTGGAGTCTTTCTGCAGATAAACTCACGTGAGCACACAGAGGCCTGGGTCAGCATGATTATTGCAGCATCATTTACAAAAGCCAAACTTAAACACAATATGAAATCCATCAATAGAGAGGTTTTTAAATAAACAATGACCATCCATATGACAGAGTGCAATGTAACCTTTTTTTTTTAACGAAGCAGTTCTTTCTAAAAACGAAGAAAAACCTTAAAATCAAACTAAGTGGAGACAGAATAATTTAGAAAACAATGTACATTGTATGCTGTAATTCATAAAAAATAAAAATAAAAGACCAACTCCCCTATATATTGTCTGTATACATTTCCATACAGGTAAGGCACAGAAATATTTTTAGAAGGGTGCATACCATACAATACCAGCAATCATGTCTGGGGATACTTACAGAGGGAGATAGACAATTTTAGGAAGAAAATATATTCACATATTAGCAATGTTAAGTCAAAATAAGTTATCTGAAGAAATGACTGGGGATTGTAAGAATTTGAAAAATGGGGAAAGTGAAGAGCTTTATTCCTATGATTTTCAGAGTCTTAGTCACCCATGTTGGTGGAATTCATGGCCAAAATGCAGTGGTGATCCTGAAGCTGATGCAATGTAGTGGATATGAGGCTATAGTCATGACCTCAGCACACTCCCAACATGACTTGGACCTTTCTACGGGTGATAGGGATGTCTTTTATGTCTTTTTTCTTATGAACACATCTCTTCTCTTGCTAATATCCTACTGCTCCTCCAGATGTTGAGTCTGAATCCATGACAAAATGATTTAAGCCTCTTTTCTCAGAGGAAAAGCTCTGAAGGGTAGGCAAGCCCAGAATCCCCAGGAGGTTCTGTTGAACCTGCAAGATCCTGGGCCCTCCCCACAGAACTGGTTCTGGCTAGACTGAAATGTGTGGCCTTGGAGTCTGAGTTTTGAAAACTGCCATAAGGGTTTCTGAAGCAGTGATGCTGATGTACTTCTAAAAACATATTTTACTAGCATTGCTTTCTTTAAGAAATAACATGACTACACTGGAAAACAGTATAGGCTGGAGAATTTAGAAAGGGAATGAATGACAAACTCACATTATAGGAACAGTGACAAATTGCACATTATCGTTGAAGCTTAGTAGCACAGTTTTGTCAACAAACAGTATTCAAAATTATAGTAGGCATATAGAATTGTGAATTTACATCCTAAAATACAACAACACGCTTTTTTGATATTCAGATGGAAATAGTGAAGGCAATCTGTACATTCGCCTGAGAAGCCCCATATCTTTATCACTTCCTGTTAACTCTTTCCTTTCTAAATGATCAAAGAACCATAAGAATAAAATAGAGTCCTCTATAGAAAACAAAGACAAAAGAAGTTACATGGGGCGAAACAGAGCAGAGAAGGGAAGGCAGGGAGAGAGACAAGGGCCACTGGATGAAGGAGAGTCAGCTTGGTTGGATCACTGCTTTGAAATGGGAGAATCTGAATACAAGGCACTATATGGGCCTTGAAGAATTCCAAGACACAATTGAAGTTCTGAAATTATAAAGCTAGAATCAGATAAAACTTGCTGAATTAAACTAAGAAGAAGGAAAAAAGTAATTCATTGAGGTTATGAGCAGAAATATGTGTTGGAAAGACTCAATGTCCCAGGCCTTGTCCTCAAAGAGAACTGGTATGATCATGAGGCAGATGGAAAAGTGAGGACATCCTCACTTTTAGTGACTGACATTTGTTGAGCGCTTACTGTATGCCACACAGTGTTCTGAGAATTGTTTTCATTGAATTCTCACATAACTTGTGAGGTAGGTATGATTTTTAATCCCTATTTTACAAGTCAATAAAGCAAGGAAGAGAATTTGGTAATATCTCATATCATACAGCTGAAGCAAGGTTCCAATAGAGGCAGTCTGACTCCAATGTGTGTGGTATAATTACTATTACTATGCTTTAATTAAATAGGTCAAATCCAACTAGGATATCAATAGAAGAAATCAGCTGTGGTGAGAGGGAGCTGCAGAATTGATGGCGTCTTCCAGTGATCTTGCAAAACCAATGGGAGTTCTATAGGAAGAAATAAGAAAGAAGTGAATGACACAGAATATCAAGTCAAAGAAACTTATAGAGAGTGATGGGGGAACCATAGAAGAGCCATGTGAGGGCTGAGAGTAACACACAGCATGGGAGAGAGGAGGAAGGAGGCGCTGGAGGAGTAGGGAGAGTAGACAGGCAAGGGCAGAGAGTGGAAAGTCTGTGCTCTCTATAAATGGTTGAGATTTGGACTTCGGAAATGTGATCCTAGCAAAGGGTTTCTGTAGGGGAGTAAATAATCAAATTCACCTTTAAAATATATTATTTGCTTGATAAAGTGAGACATAACTTGTTCAAAGAAATATTACGGTCAAAGAGACTCTGGTTATTGGTATTCTGAGTCTGTATCTCGTCAGCTGGGACAAGCAGACCTGTGAATTAGGTAACCCAAAATACACACCTTCCACCTTCTTTATTTTCTAGTTTTTCCTGAGTTTTACAATTTTGTGTCTTCAGCGTTCTCTCCACAAGGTCATTGTAAACAGTTTGTGTGAGAATTCCTGAAATACAGTTATGTGTTGCTTAACAATGGGGATCCATCCTCAGAAATGCATGACATTGTCACAGCTGAACCTCTTAGAGTACTTGCATAAACCTCAGTGACAGAGGTTAATCAGTCCATGTGGCCCCTAGGGCAATTGAGAGACATGGTAAACATGAGATATATGAAGTGGCTGCCAGAGTGCTATAGCATGCTGTTTTATAATCTTTATAAGTAGGAATACGCTCAATAATGGCAGACATGCAGCATGGTGAACACATAACCAGTAAAATAATCAGTTATTATTATTAGGCATTATAAACTGAACATGATTTTATGTACTGGACTTTCATATGGCAGGCAACACTGTAAGTTTGTTTATGCCAGCATCAACACAGACACATGAGTAATGCAGGATGCTGAGATGTCATAGTGGCTGTGAGGTCACTAGGTCGTGGGAATTTTTAGCTTTATTATATTTTATGGCATTATTGTAGTATATGTAGTCTGCTGTTCATTGACATATTATGTGCCACAAGACTATACATGCACTTACTCATCAGAGAGGAATCATGGGAAAACTTGCTGCTCTCATCCTTAGTGATGCTTAATGGCTCTCTAAGAGCAAGAGGCAAGCTTTATACATTTTGCAACAAAGGCTGATCAATAAATACTCCTGTCTTTCTATCCTAAGGCCATGAACTTGATTCATTTCACTAGAGAAGCCTGTTGGAAGTGAGACTGTTGTCAACAGAAGGAAATAGACCACACCTGGAAAGGTATTGCAAAATTCCCGCCTCAGCTTAATGGCTCTCTAAGAGCAAGAGGCAAGCTTTATACATTTTGCAACAAAGGCTGATCAATAAATCCTCCTGTCTTTCTATCCTAAGGCCATGAACTTGATTCATTTCACTAGAGAAGCCTGTTGGAAGTGAGACTGTTGTCAACAGAA